TCGCAACTTGCAATTGTATGGTGGGACCCGTCGTTATAAGCGAAAATCAATTCGATTAAAACCACTTTTTGTATTTACAAAGGGTACATCTCGTTCCACTTAACCAGTCATTTCAGAAGAAACGTCGATAATTCATACTCACTAAGTAGGAAATGCATAGATTTGTGATATACATTACACTATTATAGTATTCATGTTACTATCAACTTTAATCGTTTTAATACCGCTAGTCATTTCTGCAACAACTCTTAATATTAATTTCAATTTTGGCTGTAACTTGAATACCTTATGATGAAACGTGTTTAGAATGATAATGCTTTATAGTTACAAAACCTTTGCCCGACAACGTTTTATCGAAATGGAAAGATGAATTTGAAATGACAGTCATTACATCACACGTGTCTTGTAGAATTACCCTTTATGTTAGGTAATTTTAGGAGTGACACCATGCGATATCTATATGTAAAGGTAATTTCAGCTTGTAATGTAAGCTTATACCAAAGACGTGTATTTCCGGTATCTACTAATTTCTACTATATGTATTTTATATAAAACTGGTGATCATTCAGGTTTATTTAGTGTTCATTATTTTTTGTCTAAAACTTGAATACTGCTTAACGAATTTGGTTCATATATTAAAAGTTATTTGTGGCTTGGGTGTTTTGTTGCTTCACGAATTTGGTTCATATATTTGAAATATTCATATGTGTCTTAGGTGTTCTGTTGCTTAACGAATTTGGTTCATACATTTAAAATAGTTATATGTGTCTTAGGTGCTCTGCTGCTTAACGAAATTGGTTCATATATTTAAAATAGTTATATGTGTCTAAGGTGGTCAGCTGCTTAACGATTTTTTTATTTATCATGTTTTATTCAATGCAATAATATAAGAAATAACATTAGAAGTCGCAAGGTGCATTAACAAATATTTATTTAAAAAGAACAATCCATTTGGTTAAGCAAAGTGGTAAATAAATTGAACATAGATGGTTCGATGATTGCTTCTAACACTCAGACACGTACACACTTCTGGAGAAAAGAGGCACTAGTTTCAAGAACAGTTATATGTGTAGCGCAGTTAAGTTTTGAGCTGCCAAAAAGAAATACATTTAATTGCTCTTGTTGAGTTTTAAAATTCTTTTTATATTGGATTTCAAGGTTATTTAGTTTATTTTCGAAGTCAGCGAGGAGGGTCCTACATTTTTGAATCCACACTTACATTTTGGTGAATCAGAGTAAAGTTGTGGGCATGAAAATGAGATTTAAAAACCAAGTCAACTCTAGTCCTATTAAGACTGATTTCCTCTGATCTAGGTAAATGAAATGAGGTAGATAATATGATAGGTTCTGGATAAAAGAGAAGTGCCAATTTAGATTTGAAGGTACTGAAGTTGTCTAACTCTTGGAGTTGTTGGGGTAGTTTGTTCCATTCTGGGATAGCTATAAAAAATACATGTTTTCTCTAATATTACAGATCTTTTAGCGGGCAAGACAAATTCAGTCGGATTTCTGAAATAGAGAGGAGGTTGTTGTCTCTTATATTTATCAAATATGTTTTGAACAATTGAAGGAACTTTCTGATTTTAGAAATTGAACATGAGGGCACTAGTCGATGAAACTTTCTCCTCGTCTCTAGTTTTAGCGAATTTAAAATATTGAGCACGTTTTCAGAAGATTGCCCATGGATAGTTCCTCTACAAATCAGAGCTGATTTGATCAATGCGTTTTAATTTGAAATATCTGCACAGCCATAGAGGATGTCGCAGAAATCAAAATTTGGTAAGATAAAAGATTTGAACATAAGATTTAGATGGATTCCACTAAGTTTTTTTACTTAACGCTTTAAGTGTATTTAAAAGCTTATCAATTTTCTTTGCAAGATGGGTAATGTCGAAATTGAAAGATAATTTAGAGTTTAAAATAAAGCTAGGTGTTTATGTAAAACACACCGGTATAGATTCAGTTTCCAATTTTATGTCAGGGGTCATTATTTCATTCTTTTTCGTACTACTTAATGTCAAATCATCACATTTAGAGGGTTTGAATTTTAATTGCCATTTATCAGACCAACTGTTAATATAATCTAGATCAGATTGGAGGGTATTAATACAATTAGGCATATTATTATGGCAAAAGGGCTGATAAAGAGAGGTGTCATCTGAATGCAGAAAACAGTTGCTTAAAATATCATCAGGTAAATCGTTTATGTAAACTAAAAATAGCAAAAAATGGGCCTCTGGGGTACCACCGAATTGATATTGTCACTGGCTGACCATGAAGAATCATGTCCATCAATAAGCACTCTTACTTTTCGATTGGTAAGGTAAGATTCAATAAGTAGCATTGTATTTAGACCAAAACCATATATGCATGTAGCTTCTTAAGTAACAGCTTATGGGGTAAAGTATCGAAGGCGGCCGATATATCTAGAAAAACTGCACGTATATCATAACCATTATCTATATTGAAGTTAAAAAATCAAGAATACTTAATAGTTGGTGTTGTGTGTTGTGACTTGGGAGAAAACCACTTTGGAAATTAAATAGAAGTGGTCAAACATCCTTTTAAATATAACCCCCTCAGCTACCTTTGAAATGCAGCTTAATAAAGTTATTTTTAACAAATTTGGTTCGTCTATTTGAAATAATTATATATGTCATAGGTGTTCCGTTGCTTAACGAGTTTGGTTCATATATTCAAAATAGTTATACGTGTCTCAGGGGTTCTATTGCTTAACGAATTTGGTTCATATATTTACGATAGTTATATGTATCTTAGGTATTCTGTTGCTTAACGAATTTGGTTCATATATTTAAAATAGTTATATGTGTCTTCGGTATTTTGTAGAATTTGCCAAAACAGAGCACCTGCTACTGTTTATATGCAGGGTGGGCCAAAAATATTTTCCATGCATTATGACTTTTTTGAACGTCATTTGTTATCTTTAATACTTTCGGAAATTGAAAAACAATCCCTTGTCAACAGCTTGTATAAATATGAATATAAAAGCTCAACATTTGATTGCTTGTTCTTGTAAGAGGTGTTTATAAAGGAAGAGATTGGAAGTGACATATTTTGATTTTATACAGCTTTGCAACTTCATCTTTTATTTAAATGCATTCGTCATGAACATTAGATTTGAAGTTACCCTGATGATATTCCAACAATTATGCCAATTCAAAGCGGGGTATTGATAATAATACTAATAATTTTGACCATATACTGAAGGTATCTGTAGATCATGTATCCTGTAAGTAATAGGGAGGTTAAGATACACGTTTTATGTCACCACCAAAAAGTGGTGACATATTGGTATGGTCTCCATTTTTTATGGTGGCGGTTGGTGATCGGCAATCGGCGGTTGGCGTCTGTAACAAATTCTTACAACTTCCAATAACTTAACAAATACTGTTTAGACTGACTTCATTTTTTTCAAAACCATCTAGAAATTGTCAGAAGTTATCTGACTTAAGATTTGATCTTCAATGACCTTCTCATGGTCAAAAAGGTCTTTTTTCAACTTACTTTAAACAGGCAATGTGCCTATTTTGGAAGGAAAAAGGACAAAATATTATATGAGACATGTAACTCACACAGCCAATCAAATATGATAAAAACTTTAATTTGGGATAATACTGAACTGAAAAAAAAATTACTCGCATAGAAAACGGCATTTGAAGTTCAGAGACTGAAAAAAGTGAATTACCACTTTTCACATTTGTGGATGTTTTAAACAACTCTTGGATTAAAAGATGGCGTATGCTTGAAAATCTTATCAAAATGAATGGATAATTAATGCAAACAACAATGCCATCTTTCTATGGCATGGCTAAAAACTTGACAAATATAAGTTGATAGATCAAAAATATTTTTTCATGATCTAGTGTCAACTCTGATGTGGTCTGTTTGAGCTGTTTTTGGTGTCAAATGAAAGATCGGGTACTTATTTATCCATTGGAAATACTATAAAGATCAAAAGTGAGACTTCATTTGTCCAAATTAATTTTTCAAAATCATCTACAAATTCTCAAAAGTTCAAATCTGACTATAGATTTAAGATTTGACCTTCAATGATATACCATTCAATGACCTTCTCAAGGTCAAAACTTTCAAAAATCATCTACTAGTTCTCAGAAATTCAAATCTGACTTAAGATTGGACTCATAGTATTGTGAGTGACTAGGCGGTGACATTTTGTCATGTTAATGCCTTATTTAAAAAGCGTGTACGTGAACGTTTAGAATAATGGCCCTCTTTGGATAAGTTCTTCCATTTTACTGTTTACTTGGCCGATTGAGTATCGAAGTATAGGGAAAATAATATTAATTAGGTCTCTGGAAAAGTAAATTGAGAGAGGGACAGTAATCCTAGGGGGTCGAAATATAGCACGTTCACGTTTGGGTTCTCTTAAGACGTGTAGCTTAACCTCCATATTATAACAACCATGTGTGGAAAGTGTCAGAGCAGAGGAATATAGATTTATGTTCCCATGAGACAAATATCAAGTGATTCCCATAGCGTGTATTAAGACAGTAATGGATGTTAAATATTTATGGGCCGTTGCATTCTTGTAACTGCCTATATACAGGGCGGAATTTTTCTTCATGTATACATGTAGTTTGATATTTTATACGATTATAGTTATTTTACTGGACATCGAATTATCTATCCAGTGTTAATGTTAAGATATAATGTTTGTGTAAAATTGATAAACATTTCTACACAGCTTATATTATTTTTGATGCCTTCGGTTATTGTTTTTTTTCAAAATATACATCGTGTCTGAAGACTGAGGTGAAAAGATGAATGAAACTTTTGCAACGTAGGAAGCTATTTTGTTGACATGCCCCGATGCTCGTGTATATGATTACGATGGAAATATTATGATATAAGTAAACAGCCTTGGTAAATCAATCGATTGTTCATCGTATAATATTTCTGAATTCATGATATATACAACCTCTCGATAGCCCATTGGAAAAATGCCCTTAAGTTATTTATTGTTTGACTCAAATTGAAGAAGGCACATTCTCCCACGATTGTTCGTTATCATCGGTTTCGCTGCAATGACCGGGTGTTGTACAGTATATAACTGATATGCCAAGGTATCTAGCAGAGGTTGACGCGAGCAGCTGCAGAGACACGTATTTGGCCGTTAAGGAAAGCAATTACTCTAATGCAGACCTTTCATTGAGTAATCCAAGAAAGTTTCCGTAACAACAGACGCAATTGTTTTGCGACAATGGATATGCGCAGAGGAACAGAGCTGACTTTGGTATAGCAAGAGAAAGGATGGTGAGTAGAATTATTAACAAATAAGATTAATAAATTTATTCCAACGTTGAATAAATTGCTATTCTTTAGGGTTGTAGCCAGGCGTCGCCGTCAGTCAAAAGAAAACACACAAAAAACAACAAAACGATGAGTGTTTGTAAAATATAGTGTTTTTCTTAATTGCGTTATAATTACAGGATTATGTACTAGGCCTATCTTGGTCGGAGGCGTCCGTCTACGCGGTAGCTAAGCGCCGTCCTCAGTCAAAAAAACAAACAAAACAAAACAACATTGTTCGTTTGTTAAAAGTGATTATTTTCAATTTAACATTTACATAATATGTATACATGTATCTCATTTATATAAAGGGCAATAAACGTATACATGCATACATATACACACATAAGGGAATGTATCTTTAATCCACTTGAACGCAAAACAATAATTGAAATTTTAGAAAAGTCCATTTGACCTTTGTTTTGTTCGATAAGGAAAACTATTGTGAAACTCCAAACATAAAAGATCGCCCAATTATTTATTTTCAATAAAGCGGATTTTGAAGAGGTAATTTTAGATGACCCTTGACCTTAAATTCTCCTTTGGAGAAACTAAATATAATTTTCAACATTAATCATGACCTCCTTGATTCACCCACCCACGGTGAAATGGTGAATTAGCCATCTTTCTAATCAGCGAACTTCAACTAGATGGTCAGAATTGGAAGACTTACCTTTCAAATGGTAAGAACCTTGGGACAAAAGACCAACAAGTAATTTTAGACAGTCATGTCTTTCATCATGATAATTCACGCTGATAATAAAAATATCAATTCAATTCTCTGATAAATATGGATTAGGACCCCATTGTCACTTTCTTAAAAATGTAAGGCTTATTTTCTTAAGAGGGGATCTTAGTTTTCTTAATTTGATTATATCAAAAGTTTCTTCTACACTTTATTAACAACTTCTGAAAATGGATGGTTATCGAAACGTGATAAAGTTAAAAATCACATATCCCATATAACCATAGGGAAAACTCATGCCAGCCAGTGTTTTCAGCATAATTTGGGTCATTACATGTATCTTCCAAACTACAATTCAATACCATTCTACTCTTGAAGAAGTTTAATACCCCTTGTTGAATAATTTTTTATGCAATTATTTTTGTTTGGGAAGATTATATTTGAACAAGAATCATTGCGAGTAAATTAGAACTAAATACTATCTAATCAGAAATCATTAAAAATGTATCTCTACTAAATACTTGTTATATTAGCAACTTGCCATCTGTATCGTAATGCAGTATTACAATGCCTTGCGGAGGCCTAATGCGCACAACGATGATGGATATTTTCAAACATCTTTTTCTCAATTTTCCAAAATGTTTACTGGCATGCATGACTTATTTATCCATGTTATCAATATTTTCAATCGTGATACAAATGAAAAATTAATTAAGATACATAATTTATTTATCATGTTCTGTATGTATGACGTGCACGAAACTTTGGGACAATTTGAAAAATATGGGCTTATGGGTAATGACATCAATTAGCGTTAATCACCACCTGTTTCGAAGAATCTTTATACGTTTTTAAATGATGCTATTTTTTCAAAAGTCACATTATTCAAAATTAAATATACCCAGAGGGTGTCAAAAAGGTAATAATATATAAAGTTCTATTAAATGTCTGATTTGAAAAACAATTAACTGCACAATATTGTTTTGGTGACAAAACAGCAACCGGTCCATAAAGAGCTAATTTGCAAGAACTAATGACGTATAACGCAATGCAAATTATAACTTGATAATTATTACTATTAATTAATAATAGAAATAAGAGTACTTATTACAACTTGATAATTAGTATTTTAGTTACTATCAAGTTGTAAGTAGCAACATCCCGGATGTTATTTTAAAAACATATTCCTCGGTGAACATTCAACATTATGCAAAATCTTTCAACTAGTACATGATGAATATTATATATAAATATCATATTTTAACTCGTATCACCTGAATATACATATAATACGTATTTGTATAACTTATTGTGTGATGGGGTCTTTTTCCTAAAGATGACATCGTCATCCTGAAAAAGATAATCTTAAAGGGTTGCGATAACCTTCTCGTATAAAAACAATATGGCGGCTCCAGGTGAGTCAATTGGATCAGTCCTTTTTTTAGAAATAAGGGGAATTTTGTAAATTCCAGTTCATTGAAATCGTCTTGGAGAAAAAGTTATGCGTTTTCAATGATTCTGTTAACATTGAGATGGAGAATTGTCCAAATGATGCATGTACAACAGCCAATATAACTCCTTGTATAATAATTGATTTGTTTCACTGATTTGTTTTGCTGCGCTTGAGTGAGCTTTTTTGTTGAAAACACATGAGCATGTAAAGAGCACTACATGGCTTTCATGTATTGTTCTTTTTATACCTGGGGAGAAACCTCTTTAAAACCTTACGCAATTCACTAGCACCGCGGGTATACAAAAATGCAGTCCAAATAGGTTTTATTGCCAAGGGTTAGAGGGATTCAACGGCTTAATTTTAGCAGACATGCCATGATGAATATTAATGACAGACTGTTTTACCTGAGGCGTTTCATTCTCTTTAGAATGCACACTTCATCAACTAGTAATCTTTAATCTAGAAATAATTAGCTATAGTTGAAGATAATGACCTCAGGAGAACTGAGGTGTTCACAACACGCAACAAAAACATTTAGCCATTTGTATATTGCACAAAACAAACAACGTTGGACAATTTGTATATTGCACAAAACAAACAACGTTGGACAATTTGTGCAGTACACACTCCTGGGATAGCTGGATCATTTGTTCTTCATCTTACCGATTTGTCTTGCTATACTAACTACTTTTAATATTAATTTTCTGTTTGACTATAGTTTCAGAGTGTGTAACTATTCTAAACTATTCTCTTTAGTAGGCCCGATTAAATATTTTTTCTTTAGAAACAATCTTGTAAATGAACTTTGCTTATTCATCAAAAATAGCTTTCCAATTCGTGGCCTATTTATGAAAAAAGAGCAAAGTAAAAGCTCTGGGCCTTTTTGGGCCACCCTCCCATTTCCCCTCTCGCTCTCTTTCATGAATTATTTCCTGTTGTTACAAATGGTAGCTTTATATATCTATGTCACGAAGTGCAAAATACTTAGTGGAAATATGTCAACAACAGGCTGAACCAAAAATCAGAACCCTCCAAAATTGAAATAATTTCTTTGATACGCATGTAATCAGCTTCATTTTTAGGTGCATAAACTGCAATCTATGGATGACAGTGTGAGATCAAATTCAGTAAGCAACAGTCAATATTTTTCTTGTTATGGTCAATAATTAAAAAATGTGCCTACTTTTGAAAGAAAAGAAAAGATTTTCGAGTCAACCAAAGGGTTACACATCGTTTGTTAAAATTATATTGGCTTCTTGTTAAGCTGCAGTTTGTGGTGAGTATAGACGTTGACACCATTAATGGAGAAGTGTCCCAACAACCTTTAAGGCGCCTCTCTTCCAACTCATTATTAAATATTTGACTTTGATATCACATGTCATGCAATGCTCTTGACTAATCACTCTACTGTAGTGTCTTAATGATTTCTTGAGAATTCATCCAGTGGAATTTCTTACATCCTTTGCAGTCTTCTTGCTCAGAGGTCAGGAATTTCAGTCACCTGATGTTCACGCTTGTTTATGTTAGCAATATTCGAAAAGATTCCAATGTTTCAGACGATGATATCCGTTCTGCGATCGTTGACCATGCCAAGGATAAGGGAATAAGAGTCATGAAGGCCGATATTGTACACAATCGTGTATGCGACGATAAAGTCGGATGCAAACTTAACATCCCCGAATCCCAAGCAGAGATAATTCTTGCAACCAATTTTTGGCCAGACCCGGCAATTGGATGCCGCGTATGGCAGCGCAGATCTACCCAGCGCTCAAACTACAATAGTCAACGGGGTAGTAATTTTAAACATATACCTGTAATCACGGGTCATTATTCCCATTCACATGGGCGATCATATGATACCTATGAGCTCGGCCGCGACTCAAACGGCTACTACAATAACAATAGATATGGTGAAACTATTGACGAGGATGAGCGACATCTTGCAGTTTAGGGGTATACAGTGTATGGATTCCATGAAGCCAATACATCTGTGTTTCCTGCTATTTTATTTTCTTGCCCATATAAATATTTTTACTTCCCATATGAATGCAATCAACACTTCCCAAAATGTTCTATCAAATAATGATTTAAGACTCATACAATGGAACTGCAGAGGTTTAAACGTATCGTCACTATATATTAATTCTCTGCTATCACAATGCGATATAATGGCTCTCTCCGAGCATAAACTTTACAATTGTAATAGATTTAAGTTGGACTCCGTCCATCCTGACTTTAATTGTTGTAGCTCCAGTAGCAAATCTTTAAATGATTTTAATTGCGGGAAAGTATGGGGCAATGGTGGTGTAGCTATATTTTGGCGCAAATCATTGGATAATTATATTATACCTGTTAAGAAAATGTGTACCGATAGAATTATTTGCTTAAAAGTATCGGTCGTGGTAGACTCGCCCTTGTACATATTTTCAGTGTATTTGCCACAACAAAACTGTGTGATAGATAATTTTGAAGATGTCTTATTTTCACTTGAACAATTTGTTCAAGAAGCTAATATTGATGGCAATGTAGTTATTCTTGGTGATGTCAATAGCAATCTAGTTCAATTAACTGGAAGTAGGGGACACGGAGATCCATCGAGCAATGGCTACAATCTGTTTGAATTTATGAAGCGGAACATCTTAACTGCAATTGACATGACGGAGATAACTACTGGTCCAACCCACACTTTTGAAATGATGAGGAATGAAGTACTACATGTGAGCTACATTGATCACGTGATTATTTCTTCCCAACTTGCTAATAATATACTTACCTGTAAGGTGTTTGAAGATGAACCTGACAACACATCAGATCATCTACCGATTT